AGGTAAGTCTTTCTTGGGAAACACTTACCCAAGTAAGTGCATTTATCCATGTTCTTTTATTTTCCATGTAAATAAGGCAATGAACATTTGGGCATTTTTATCCTATTCAAGTGTTTCCAACTTTCCCCTCAGGTGGGAAAGTTATTTACCCACTTAGGAGTAGGGGTGCAATCCGATCTTATTTGGTCAAATTCGGATTGCCCATGTTCAAATCTTCGGATATAGGATCGGATAATAGGATCCGATCAGAAATCGGATCAGATTCGGATCACCCCCTATTCAATCCAATATATATTATTTATATTGTATTTTTATAAATTTGATATATTTATTTTTTTATAAAAAAACATGTATATATATGATGAAAATAATTAAAAACACTCATTTTTTTGTTTATTATTTAAATTTGTATATTTTATTTTTCTTTTAATAATTTGTTAATTTTTAAAGAAAACAAGTTGGACCGGATCATATCCGAAGATCTAACTTACCGATAGGATTCGAATTCAGATCAAGACCTATCAGATCTAGTTGGATCTTTGAATCGGATCAAATCCAAAATGAACAATGTCAGATCGAATTTGGATGTACCCTGATTCGAATCCGATCTGATCTGTTTGCATCCCTACCTAGGAGATGGGTATCAATTACCTGGGTAAGTGACACCCAGGAAAATAAACTTTTCTTGGTTTCCACATAAATCTGAGAAAAGAACATGGGTTTCTTGGTCAATGAGATTTTGCATTGACCAACTTTCCTCCTCTCAAAATCCAAAAAAAGAATGCCCCCTTACTACAATCTATAATGATATTGGCAATACACCAATGCTGTGAGGAATGCTCTACCAACAAAAATTTGACTAGAGATAAATAATCACTCTCAACAACTATACATTGGAGGGCTAGGATGAAGTAGGCACAACATTGTAAGCACATTCAATGAGCACTTTAAATGTTGTGCCTACTAGATCCAGTCCGTACATTGGATACATAACTCTCTTACAAATTGAAGTGTTCCTCTGATGAAACCAGATTTGCTCCTCACAAAATGCATGCCATACCAAACTCACAACGTTTTCAACCACATACTTTGAAAACATTTCCCATGCTTGATGTTGTCATTCATGGGAAAATGTTCCCAATGCACAGCTGCTATGTGTTGTAAGGTTGGTGTGAGGCACGTCTATGAATAGCAATCTGATTTCTCCTAGGATGGTCAATCTTATGCAAGTCACTAATAGAGTTTAATGGCTCTACTCCTGCACTCTCACTTGAGCTAGAACCATAAACATTGAGGCCCTGTTTGCTTTTCGATCGGTAAGTTACTTACCTGGGTAAATACACTTATCCGAGTAAGTGCGCTTATTCATGTTCTTTTATTTTTCAGGTAAATAAAATAATGACCATATTAGCCATTAAAATTCTATTATTAAAAGGGGCATTTTTGTTCCATCCAAGTGTTGGCAACTTTCCCATGACGGAAAAGTTAATTTATCCACCCAGGAAAATAAACTTTCCCTGGTCCCCACATAAATTTGAAAAAAGAATATGGGATTCTTGGTCAATAGGAACCAAAAAATCCCATTGACCAACTTTCCTCCTCTCAAAATCCCAAAAACGAATGCCCCGAATTTCAAGAACCAATGGGATGTTGGTGACTATCAAGTTACAACAATTGGTGCTTTCAATAACTTATGAGAGGGAGCAAAAGAAGATGTAGGTGTGTGTAGCAGTTCCACTTCCATTCAGCAAGATGGGCTTGGGCTGAGATAATAATGTCCTAAGAATTGAACTCATAAAATTGGTACTCACACCCACCTCAAAGCCCTTGCAGCCATGTGTTGGAAACATCTCCCATGAATATAAAATACTAGGGAGATGTTCCTGATTTGGGGCTGCAAGGGCTGTGAGGTGAGTGTATGGACCAATTTTGTAAGTACGGTTTGAACTCTTAAAATGGCAACCCTTTATAACTTTTCTAAACCGTAAAGCTCCCAATCATCATGAGAGTCAATTCGAACATGGAAAGCAAACCAAACCAGTTTCATACATGGCACCTCATGAAGCAATGAGTGGATGCATGTTTAAGGTTAAAAACCATACCAGGCAATTGCTTTCAACATGAATAGAAAGCTTGATAAGATTTGTTGACAGAGGACCCCTGAAATGCACCTCCATATATAAGAACAAATGAAACCTTAGCGGGATGTGCTTAAACTTCCAAAAGTCTTCCCATGTGCGGCTGGGACAGGGCCGACAGGCAATAAACCTGGAGGAAGTGGAAGCCTCATTTTGAACTAAGGTTTTGTAAAGAGATCAGGATGAGAAGTTACCCAACTTTGTCTAGGTCCAAACCATAGAATCTTCGAAGTCATCCTATCATATTGGTTGCGCCGAGTAGAGAGAATACAATCTCCAATGAAGGAACCAAAGATCTGAAAATTTTACTACGATCCAATACTTTGTTTAAGGGATCAATAAGAGAAGCCACTCTCGAGTCATCACAATTTGAAGGAAAAGGATAAAGCTTGTTCTCATGGGAAAATGAATCGAGTCCTTTAGAATGCTAGCCCAAGTAGAAGATGAGCAAGCAAGTTGATGGGCTGTCCATAATGTGTCACCCCTCCGAATGTACTAAAAATTCGAGCCCAACATCTATACCTTTCACATTCCAACCTCCAGCCCAGCTTCATGACAAGGGAGATTGTTTTTTAAATACATGTCCCAAACCCAAGACCTCCTTCATACAAAGGTCTAAAAAGTTGATCCCGCCCCTTGAGATATATGTCTTCTGTCATATCGTTCCAACTCCACCAAAAATCTCTTGCAATGTTGTTCAATTTCTGGCCAATGCTTCTAAGAAATAACTAAGAAGCCACAAAATGTAGGTGTTGTTCAATTAGTAAAGTTTATAAGGTTCTTTATGGGACTGGATGGATTGGATACAAAATCATGCATAGCGGTCTAGGCAACTTATCACCAGTGAATACACCAACATTCCATACCCATGAAGCCCACATGGAATCCACACCTTATACAAAATATTGTTGCGCTTATTCATGATGAGAATTTCAAATCCACTAGTCGATCAAAGAGTGCAATAACCAATTTTGACAATGTTAGTCACTCTACTCCCTAACCAGTTTTCTTCAATGCTGGTCACACGTCACCCCAACTAGGTTTATCTAGAGTTTTAGTCATACCTCACCTTGTAGGTTGAACAATGCCAAGAGGGTTCCGGGCATTAAAAATCTCAAATAAACCAAAAATATGCAAGAAAAAAAATCATTCCAAAAGTGAAACTGACCTAATCGCTGGTGAGTTTATAGCTTATTCGATGGTCATCGGTCGCTCCCAGAACAGGTGCCACCGCTAGGATGTTCAACCCTATTCAAATGAGGAAGATGAGGGTCTTGAGAAGATGCAAGGGTACTTTGGGTATTAAAAAATAAACTCTCAAGTTGTTTTTTTAATAAGCACTTCTTTTTTAAATAATCACTTTTTCCTTATTTTTTACCAAATACCAACAAGTGCTTATTTTCCACTTAATATATAGTTGCAACACTTATATTAAGTACTTATAAAAAATACTTATTACAAGCGAAATCAAATAAGGCCTTAGTCATACCTCACCTTATAGGTTGACATAGTGCCTATACACTAAGCAAGACCCCACCGACTCTCATAATCAACAAAGTTCCAAATTGTCTATAGTGAAGAACACAATAAAACCCTTCTCGATTAAATGTTTCAACATAGCTCAACCCCACTCAACTCTACAAGAACCAAAGATTCAAAGTCTTTCTAAAATGGATTCACCAATTTAGCTCAGTTTTTGAAAAATTTTCTTTTCAAAATCTCCCTCTTATTTTTCTTCTTATGATTTTCAAAGACTTTTAAAAAGTTATCACCAAATTGATCTAGATGGGCTTTTTAAGTAGGGATGGCAATTTCACAAGAACTTTCGAACACCCGACCATCCCAAACTTATAGGACCAATTTATCAAAAGCCCATAGGGTTGGGTTTTGACCTCCAAACCTAATATCTAAACCCAATTACATTTAATGTGAGTCCCCACTCCCAATAACAAATTTCACAGTACCTAAATCCAATTATATTTAATAAAAATTTAACAAAAAATACTTAACAAAATATAAAATAGAGAATAAATTAGAAATTTTATTTCATTTGAATTTTAATAAAAGTGGAAATAATAGAGAAGAATTAGAAATATAAGTGAAGGAGAGCATAGAACATATATTGAACTAATTAAGGAAAAAAGTGAGAAACATGAATTGTAGGAGAAGAGAGAGAACCCAATAGAAAAGGAGAGGGTGCTGAGATGGCAAATTAAGAGTAATGGGATGGAGGAAAGAGAGAGAGTCAAGGAGAATCTAGGATTTTCCCAAGAAAAAAGATTAATATATGTAATTTTCCACAAATAACTCATAATTGAATAAGGTCCATATTTTTCAACCCTACAACCACCCTCAATCCAACCGAATTTTTAAAAAGTTTGTTTCGGGCTAACTGGCCCAAGTCGTGCCTAGGTATGCTTGTGCTTGCTCAAAATTCTGTTAATCCCATTCCAATTAACCCGGCTGGGTCCCATTCCATGCTTTTTATTGAAAAACAATTGGCTCCTTCAATGAAAGTGATGTTATTTATTGATGATGCCACATAGGTATCATTTCAAAATTTTCTCTCTTGCTCTTTTGCATACATCCAAAATAAATAATGAATTTTGGTTTATGTGTATGTCAAATATTTATAAAAATTATGTTTTGAAGCTTTCACAAACATCAAATTTTTATTTATTACGCTAAAATGGCGTCTAATTGTCACAAACGATTACAATTATTGCATTTTTCGGTTTTACCGACAAATAAAGTACAAACGTTTATTAATAAACATAAACGATACCAAATCGAAGCCTTTACAGCCGTGTATTGCAAATATATCTGTATCTATATGCATTTTTTCATAGAGATATTCTCAATGCAAGACAGGAAGGGACTGGGCGAGCACGGTCTGTTTACGACCGAATCCGATTTCGGCGCCACTTTACACAAATTTGGCGTTTGAACAGAAAATCAGAGCGAGAGCAGAGAGAGCGAGAGAGAGAGAGAGAGGTGCTAGCAAACTCTGCAATGTCGATAAAAGAGTGGATTAACACCAACGAGAGCGCCAAAGAAATGCTTGAAAGGGTTTTAACAGAACGTCCTTTCTTGCTTCTCCCTCCTCTTCACCGTGTTCCCCTACGTGTCGGTAACGTCGTTGAGATCGTGGGCCCTTCTCCCTCCGCCAAAACCGAGATTTTAATTCAGGTATCCTCTTCTGCATCAGTCATCTTGTCATCGTTTTCTTCTCATTTGTTGATACATAATTGGCCAATGTGACAAAATCCCTAGGACTGTTGGAATGACAAGCTCTTTTGTCAATTCGCAGGTAAACTTTTTTCTTTGGCAGCGACGTGGAAGCCTGGTACTATTGGAACACGTCAAACCAAGTCGGTTAACCTTTAGGACCCTAAAATTTCTCTTTTTCTTTGTCTATCACTTTGCTTCGAATCCGATCACGATCTTTTGCGGGAAAGTCACATTTGGTTATTCGAATGCAAAGCATGTACAATTTGTTGCATGCATTATAACTTGATTGTATTTCGTATGACTTGTCAAATGAGGTTCTGATTAATTCATAGTGTTTACAGTTGAATTTAAGAGAAAGCTAGAATATTAATGTTTACAGTCCAGAGAATGAAAGAACAGGCACCATTGATCACTTCTACAATGTAAAATCATATAAATGTTGACATTCCTTTGAGTTGCTTCCTACCAAAAATATCGATCATCGACAATCCTTGACAATGATCGGATTAGTTTCAAGAATCATTGGGGAAGCAGGGATCGTTCATTGACAATGCCTTTTGATATGAGGAAATAAGATAGGATTAGTTTCAAAGACCCAGATGTCAATGTCATCAGGCTAAACTTAACAGGAAGCCTGTTGCTCCTTTTCTCAAATTATTGGATGTCTGTGTCACTGTGTCCTCTAGAGTTATTTTTTCCCCTCAAGTTTTAGCTTAGATTGTTAAAGTCATACACTTGGTAAACTAATGCTTTATGTAACAAATGTGCTACATGCAGGCTGCAATCAGTTGCGTCCTTCCCAAACAGTGGAATGGTGTGCATTATGGTGGGTTGGAGCGTCTAGTTATGTACATTGACTTGGATTGTCGCTTTGACATTCTACGCCTCTCACAATCGCTAAAGCTGCGCATAATGGAAACTAAAAGTATGTTTCATTTTTCCACTTGTTATTAGACTTTCTTCTATTGTTTTTAAACTCTTTGTTAATGTCAGGTTTCTAGGTTTAAATTTGCATTTTATTTGGACTTGGTTTCTTTTAGTGGGCTTTTTTTTTTTCTATTGACTTCTTGTTAATGTTATTTGAGGTCAATCTAGAATTGTCTTTATTGTTTTATGTTTTGTCACAATTCTGTTCCCTAATTACTTGAATCATATGTTGAATGCCCCCTCCCAATTATCATGGTGGATTTAGGCACTGGGATTGGGGTCAAGAATGCCGCATTGGTGCTTCTTTGGAAACTTGAGGATGGAATTCAGACAGTGCTTTTATGACATCATTTCATATATTTTTTTCTCCTTTCTTTTTTGGTTCATAATGGTAAAAGTATTTTGTTGATAATAAATAGAGGTGCAATGTGGGGTTATGGCCCACTTTTGCAGGCCACCCGCACTGTAGAGAGCCATGCCTGCCTAGCATGAATCCCCCAAGAGGGAAAGCCTAGCATGGCCCAAGATGCTGGCCTAGTGGGCTACAGGCTGGCACAATTTTTTTTTAAGAAAAATTGAATTTAATTAACAAGATAGACAACAAGTTCAATAAAAAAATGCTTTGGCTGATTGTCTAGCAAAGCAAGGGGTAGCTAGGGAACTTTTGTATTGGGCACAATTGTAGTTTGGTTTTGTTTTGTTCTTTGTTAGGAAAGGTTGCAGCTCACACCTCTCCAAGGGATACTTGTATTAGCTTATTTCTTGATCTAATAAAAGAATTATTTATCAAAAAATTCAATAAAAACTTAAAATTTAATTTCATATGAACTTTGATGTATACAGTTGTTTATATATGAAATAATAAAATGGAATGAAAAAAATCACAATAAAGTTGAAAATAAAAATTTATATACATACATACATATATATATATATATATATGTGTGTGTGTGTGTGTGTGTGTGTGTGGGCTGTGCTAGCTCACAACCATTTTCCTGAAAGAGCTTTATTGAAAATCTTCAACCTTCTAATCCCTAGCTCACCGTCTTTCTTTTCCTTGCAGACCTTATCCCATTTAACTAAGTGGAATTTCTTCTCAGTACCTTTTAACTCTCCATAAGAACTCCTTTTGCATTTTTTCAGTTGAACTTATCACAGAATCTGGTGCCTTTAAATGTGAAAGGTAATATACCGGGAGATTGGATAGCACTCTTTATAGGAGTAATCCTTCCACCAGGAGATAGATACCTCCCCTTCCACCCTGCCAGCCTTTGATCTATCCTATCAAGAACCGGTTGCCAAGTTGAAGAGACTGAAGCTTTCACCCCAATAGGGAGACTGAAATAAGTAAAAGGAAAATCCCCCATGAAACAGCCCAAAGATGTTGCACAATCCTACAAAAGAGAATCTAGGATATCACCCACTCCAATCATTACACTCTTCTTCAAATTGATTTTTTGTCCTACCAATATTTCATAAAATCCGATGATCACTTTTAAATTCAGCACTTGCACATTGATGCATCCAGGAAAATCAATGTGTCATCCACAAACTGAAGGTGAGTAATGGAAACTCTATTTCTTCTTGCTTTAAACCCTTCAAACATCCTAGTTTCTGCTCCTTTACATAACAAGTGGCTTAGAACTTCTGCCACCAAAACAATCAACCAAGGTGGCAATGGATCACTTTGTCTCAAGCCCCTTTGGGCTTGAAAATAAGGCGTGGATATACCATTGACAAGAACTGAAAAAGAGACAAGAAATGCATGTAAGCATCCAACTTCTCCACCTTTCCCCAAACCCATCCTTGCCAAGATATATTCTAGAAATCCCCATTCCACATGATCATAAATATTGAGCTTGCAAACTAAACCTTGTTGTCTGTTTTTCAATTTTGAGTTAACACATTCACTTGCAGTCATCACCCCATCAAGAATTTGCCTGCCTTTCACAAAAGCCATTTGGTTTGGACCCACAGCATCATGTAAGATAGATCTTAATCTTCTAGATAGCACCTTAGCAATGACTTTGTAGGGACTTGAGATCAAACTGATTGGTCTAAAGTCCTTGACTCTAGATGCCCCTTTCAATTTGAAATCAGAGATATAAAAGTTACATTTCCACTCCTCTCAATGAACTTTTCTTTCCAAAATTCATTCATCATCCTCAATACATCCTCCTTTAGCACATGCCAACAACTCATGTAGAAAGAGATATTGAAGCCATCTGGACCTGGAACCTTGTCACTCTTCATAATATTTATTGCTGACCATACTTCCCTTTCATCAAACTTCCTTTCCAATCAGTCCCTTAAGCCTTCTCTAATCCTACCCAGTTCTACATCATCCAAGAAAACCTTCTACTTGGGGTAGCCTTGTACCAATTGATATAGAAATTTCTAATTTCCTTTGTCTCTTCTTTTGGATCATTAATGATTTTATTTTCCTCCTCCAATCTATAGATGAAATAATTTCTCCTTCTACCTCTTGTTTGATGATGAAAGAAGGCAGTTTTCTTATCTCCCTCTTTTAGCCAAAGTGCTCTAGGTTTTTGTCTCCACATGACTTCTCCCATATGAATCACCTCCAATAATTCCCCTCTCACACTCTCCTCCCTTTTGCCTTCCCTAGATAAGATATCCCTTTCCTCTGATCTCCAAATCTGCCATTTTTCTGAGCAATTCAACTGTTTTGATTGCAATATTCGTGAAGACCTCTCTGTTTCAAACTTTTAAATCCTCTTATAGAGCCATCAGCTTCCTCATCAAAATTAAATGTGCCCTTCTTTCAAAGTGATAACTCCTCCATTTCTCTTCCTCAAAGGCCACAAAAAAGAGGGTGTTTAAGTCACATATATTCAAATCTAAAAGGTTTGGCTCATATCAAGTTTGAGAAATTTTCTCAAGAGGATCGACTTCTGATTTGATAAAGCAGAAGTCAGAGTTTCCTGAACCAAGTCTGAGAAAAATTCCTCCCACTCTCCATTAAAAAGAAATGTATCCAGTCTCCTCAAAATAGGTGGATCTTTGCCATTTGACTATGTATAGTCTGACTCTAGCTTGTTACAATTAATGGTGCTTTTGGTGACCACAAGGGGGACATCTCATTGGCATTTTCATGGTCAATAGGCTTGTGAAACACAATAAGAGCAGAGATGCATGCTTTTCTAAAGGGGTTCAAATTGGCAGAGATTTTAAACCTTCGAAATTTGATTAGGAGATTCACAGGTGATTGTTAGCTGGCTGAAAGGGGAAATGGAAGGCACCAATTGCAACTGAGACATCAGATCTGGGAAGCAAGACAGCTGGTCAACTATCCAGAGGTTTTGGATATCCTGATCTGCAAATTCTTTACAGGTTCATTAACTAGAGGATAAACAGGCAGACATTGATTTGAGGAGGGTATCCATTAAATTAAACACTAAATTTTGTTTGATTTCACTCTCTGATCCTCGAGGCAGAGTGGTGAGCAACAATGAGCCTGCTCTTTGTTTGCAAATAATTAAAACAGATATATCATATGCCATGCTGTAACAAACCATGTTGATCCTTCATATTATGGACAAAAATTTTCAGTTACCAAGCAAAATTATAAAAGATGGTGAGCACTTATGGCTAAGGACATATAGATCTTCTTTGTGTTCATCTTTGGAATAAATAATAGTCCTCTAGTATTACCACCACCTTTAATGAGCCAAGTGTGGCTGGATATTACTTTTGAAGGTCATGGTCAAATCCAATAGTATAATCCTGCTTGCTCATTTTTGAAACTTTGTTTGAATGCAATAGAATGATTGGTTATGAAGGAGACGAAATTGAAACCAAGGATATGTTGAAACATTTCTTCTTATATAATGGACTTTGAGTGCTGCATTTGAAGGGGTTGAGGATATGAAGTGAATACATCTTATAAGACAATGAGGTGAGATTGTGAAGCACTGTTATTTTTTTTCAAGTTTTTCCTCTTTTTGTTATTACAAGGATAAAATATCCAAAAACTTATAAACACTTTTATCCATATATGTAATTATGTATATATAATGGATATAGTTTCTATGTCAAATCAGAAACAAGAAATTCACTTTCTTGCGTCTTTCCTGCTCCTTGTTCATTCTTTTTGCCTTATTATGCTGATCTTATCCTATGTTTTTTCTTATGATATTTGCTCTATGGTATATCATACCAAATCTATATTTTAAAATGTTTTTCTTGGTTCTTTCATCTTTGTTCTTTGTGCATTATTTAAAACTCCATAATGCAATTCTTATACATCCCAATACATTTTTTAGCAAACTAACTATATATGACTTGCATATTCCTACCTTTTGAATGGACGCAAACAATCTAGTTCATTGAATTTATGTTTAAACATGCAGGATCAAGTGATCAAATTGATTGGAGCAGAGAAGAGGGTTTATGTAAATATAAGGAAACGAAGGAAACAATAGCTGATTTTGATGAGGATCTATTCTTAGCTTGCATGAGACGGTTCTTGTATGTTTGTTGCTACAATAGTTTTGAATTTTTGTCTACTCTTAAGGTAAGGAACTCAATGCTTATAGTGTGTCCATCTGGCTATCGTTAAATAGTACTGAAGGATATCATTCTCTTTCCGAAGTACATCTGCTTTCATGGTTTTCCATTCATATGACACAGTGATACAGGATGGGTATGATCCATGGCTGAACTGGAATTAAATTAGAAAAAACTGAATAAGATTGCATGTTTTCGAGAGGGTTTATGTTTAGAGTTTGGGTTTGTGAGGTGTGGCATGACTTTGAGGAACATGGATGAAGTGTTATTAGGGCTAAAAAGGTTGTGTCATTTGAATAGGAGGGCTTTCCATGTCTGAATTCCTACTAAATGCCGAAATTTCTACAGAATAAAAATAAGAAAATTTAATAGGAATTTTTATTGACACTTTAGAGGGGTTTTTAGGATGCTAGAAATTGCACCAAAGATTAGGTGGGGCAATTCTTGGTAAGCTTTTTGTTCATGGGATAAAGAGAACTAGGTTTTTGCAGGTTGGAATGGAAAAATCATTTTACATTGATTTCAGTCCCTTTAAAGTGCTGAACAATTGCTTTTGTTCTTCTGATGGATGAACTGAGAAAACTTGTGATAAAGAACAAGAGAGGGGACAACAGTGACAAAAATAGGGACAATTTCTAGAGTTCTTGCAATCACTCTAGGAGTTTTAGAATCACTCACCAAAAGTTGCACATAGCTAAAAAATAATCTCCAAATTCCATTAGCCATATTTTGCACTCAGAAGTCAAAACACACAGATACATATATAGGATCTGCCAAGTCCAACTTAAGGAAACTCAAAATTTCAGAATTGTAAATAATAAACTTCTGTCCAAATAAAACTTTATAACTCCTAAACTACTTAACCATTGCTGAGGAAAATTTGAACATAAGTTACTAATGACCTAATGAACCAAACCTGAGGGTGGAGGAGCAGCAAAGGAAAATAGACAAAATACCCATACTGTCCAAACTCTAAAGATGCAAAGTTACACGGAATTTAAAAGAACTATTTGGGCTCTATATCACCTGTTTATGAGATATGTAAAGATATATGGTTGTTTATTTTGGACCGATTGATGATGGTTTTGAAAGAATTCAAGGGGATGAGAAGTGTTGCGTTAAGTGGTAGTGGTATGAGATTGTATGGCAATGAGGTATTTATACTTTGTATTCTATTGGGGAATAGGGACATTAGTGTTATCGAAGTGTTGAGTAGTCATTAGCTAGTTGATCAACTCGTTAGATGAGAGTAGGGGTGCAACTTGGGGTCAGAACCAGCAAAGTACTCCCAAGCAGTACCAGTCAACACCCCTGCAAACTGAGTATTTTGGGCTGCCACATTTGCTACATTATGTGCTGTATCAGGCTTCTTCTGACCCTGCACCTTATCCTATTCTTGGTTCTTTACAGCCCACTTTGGCCTCCCATGGAGCTCCCAACATGTGTCCCATGTATGTCTTGAATGCCAACAGTGGGTACAAAACAACTTGTCCTTATAATCAACCTTCTTGGAGTCATTTTTCTTTTCCATATTGTTACCAGCCATTGCAGCTAATGCTGCCTATTGCTCCCCTTCAGTTGTAACCATCACACTCCGTCTACTTTCCTCTGACTGAACCAGGGCATACACCTCTTGAACTGAAGACAACTCTTTACTCCCTAAAATCTGAACTTTAAGAGGTTCATATATGGGGTTTAGTCCCAACAAGAAAGCAAAAACTCGTTGCTGAGAAATCAACTTTTATAGGCTTTAGCATCATCATCATGTTTCTATTCTATAGCTTGATAGTGGTCCAACTCCTTCCATACTGAAGTAAGGGCTGAATAATAGGCTTGAAAGCTAAATTACTGTAGCCGAAGTAGTAGAAAAGAGAAGAAGAAGAAGAAGAGATGCTGGAATGTCGAACTGCCCTGCTCAGTCGACAGTACTATTATTTATATTATGGTGTAGTAYAATGATACAGGAAGTTACTAGAATGCCCCTGATTAGTGATGGGACACCCAGACAACTTAAAACATTAAACAGGATTAGGCCCATTAACAAAGGCCCAATACAGGACAACTTAAACTTAAGTATAGGCTAATAAGAACTCTTATCAGCCGAATACTCATACATACAAAGACTTCAATCCAACAAGGCTGACAAACTATGGTTCCCTTGTTTACTGGTTGAGGATTCAGCTTGTAACTGGTAAATCTTGGCATAGTGCCTTTTGCTCAGAATAGGTGGTTTTGTCCTGTTCTCATGTTTCATTAGCAGTGTCTGCCCACATAGTGTTTTTCTTCACATCAGGTTCCATGACTGCAAGAAGCCAGGACATCACCATACTATTCTTTTGGTCCCACTTATCATGTTCAGCTGCCCCTTTCTTGGGTTCTTTTTTTTTTTTGATAAATGAGTAAGATTTTATTAAACTAGTAAATAAGAGTTACATGCAACCCATGGAAAGGCACGGGGTGTGACCTTTCCTTTAAGACTAGTTATAGAAATTACATAGAAGCCCAAAATAAAGTAGCCCGAAGAACCCCCCCCCTCTCTGTTTTGCAAGTGAATCAGCCATTGAATTTGCTGATTTGCCTACCCACTAAACTCTGATTGTCATATTCCTTGTTAGCCATTTAACCTTTTTGAGAAGATCTCTAAAAGCCCAGATCACAGAGTCTGGATCCTTCAACCAGCCCACTATCACCTGGTAGCCCCCTTCAATAATCAGATGCTTTATGCCTCGCTGATTTGTGAGCTGGATTCCTTGTACAACAGCAAGTAATTCGGCCTTTAAAGAGTTCCCCACACCTGCTGGACCTGAGTACAAAGATATAATGCTAGTATCTTTATTTTCTTTGCACTCCTCCTATGCTTGAAGGTCCTGGATTACCTCGGCTACTTCCGTCAAAGTTCAGCTTAATAAACTCCTCCCCTGGTGGCATCCATTCAACCACATGTCTGTCCTTCCTGGCAGAAGTATTAGCCATTGTTAGCTAGCTTCTCTATAGGTCATCAAAAGAGTATGCATCAAAGAGMTTTAGAGTTTTCAGCCACTGAATTGCCCTTGCTAGAATACATTCTTTAACTTCTGAAAAGCTCCTTTCATTTTCACAAAAAATTCTGGTGTTCCTTTCTTCCCAAACTATCCACAACAAAGCTGCTCTTATGCACTTCCACATAATTCTCCCTCTCTTTGTGTGCTATTCAAAGATAGACGGACTAAACAACAAGCTAGTATCAGATGGCAAGTTCCACCTACACTCGAACAACATAAAACTCCAATTCCATAAAGCTGTAGCACAAGAGCAAGAGATCAGTAAGTGGTGACAGTCCTCATTCTATGATTTACAAAGAACACACCAATTAGGGGATAAGCATCATTTTGGTCCCTTCTTTTATAGGTTTTCAAAGGTATTAATCTTACTGTAATAAACTTCCCAACCAAAAACAGTAATCTTTGGGGGAATGGGTCTAGTCCAGAATTCTTTATCTGGGAAGTTTTGGGGTGTAGAAGTGGAGCAAAGGGACTTGAAGAAAGAGGAGCAAGTGAAAAAGCATTTGGGGTTAGGGGTCCAAATTCTTGTGTAAGGTTTGAGGGGATCTAAACAAATAGACTCAAGTGAAAACAACAGTTTTGAAACACAAGCACTTTCATCATCATGTAACCCTCTACGGAAACCAAAATCCCAGTTTAGGGCCACAAAGAAGTTAGGGAGGAAATAAAACTGGAAACCGGCTCTTTCTTATAAAGGGAAAAAGAGTGAAGAGAGGAAAAAGGTCTTTAAGAGGTTGGTTGCCTACCCAAATGTCTTCCCAAAAAAGAGCACTGTTTCCAGATCCCAACCGTTCTGCGAACAACCATGAATACTATTCACCACCTTGTGCCACAACCTCTCTCTCTTTCTCTCTCCAACGGCCATCTGCAAAGCCACTTCCCTAGTAGAGCTTCATTCTTAAGAACTAGGTTACTTAATCCTAATCCCCTTTCTTCCTTACTTCTATTGACTATCTCCCACCTAATCAGATGATCCTTCTTCTCTTTCCTTGGCTCCCACAGGAAGTCCCTCACCATCTTTTCTAGCTTCTTAGCTTTTCTTGAGGGTATCTTGAACACCGAAAGAAAATAAACTGGAAGACTAGCAAGTGTTGCCCTAATCATGGTCACTCTACCCCCTAATGAAATGTAACTTTTCTTCCAAGAAGCCAACCCCTTTTTGAATTTTTCCACAATTGGATACCAGAACCGACTTTCTTTTGGTTAGCTCCCAATGGAAGACCCAAGTAGGTTAAAGGCCAATCAGACATGGAACACTCTAGACAACTTGCTATAGCTCCTACCTCCCAGACTTCCAAATTGATTCCAACCACACAACTTTTGTCAAAGTTAATTATCAGGTTTGAAGTAGACTCAAAGGATTTAATAAGATATTTTAGGTTCCTCACTCTCCCCAAGTCTTCCCCTTCACAAAAAATGATAATATCATCAACAAACTGAAGACAAGTCACCGGGACATTATTCCTACCTATCCTCCAACCACCTATCAGCCTTTCCCTCTCTGCTTTAGAAATCATTCTACTAAACACATCTATCTACCACAAGTGTGAACAAGATGGGTGAAAAGAGGATCTCCTTGCCTGAGCCCTCTACATGCTGGGAAAAAAATCCTTCACCCCTACATTAACTAGAATTGAAAACTGACAAAAGTTTATACATCCATTCACCCACCTGCACCATCTATCCCCAAACCCACATTTTCTTAGCATTTCTAATAGAAAATCCCAATCCATCGAGTTGTAGCCCTTCTCAATGTTCAACTTGCAAATAAAACCTTGGGTTCTTTCACTCTTCCATTTATGTACCCAGCTTTTCTCCTTGTTATTATGTAAAGTTTTACACCTTTAGCCCACTCTAGGTAGGTCTGGCCATTTAAAGGGGTAATTGGCATAGGAAATATCATATTTTCAGCTCCCGTACCAGCGGTACTATGGGTTGATGTAACCCCAGATGAGGCAGAATCATC